CATTATTAGTACACATGTATTTAGTAAAGAATAGCTTTTTACAATTTTTGTTAATTTTGAAATATTATTAAAACCACCAATAAATATTTCTTGAAAATGTCACAAGGGATTGTATTTTAGTTGAATTGATGCTAAATATCCATGTTATTTGTTAATAAGCTTAAAAAAATTAGTAATTTGCATTTCGGTGATTCTTTTAAAATTGCTCGATTTTCAAAAAAATTTTGTACATTACTGCGTTAGGATAATAAACTTTTTATTGATTCTGATAGAGTTCTTTATTCTCTTTAATTTTTATCTCTTGGAGTTTTTCGCTATAATGCACCGTTTTCGAGTTATTTACATGTTTTCCCAAAAAGTACAAAAATTCAAGATGGCGGCCGATTTTTTTTGATGACGCACACACCGGACAAATGGGGACTTTTAGTATGTTAATAAGGGTTACTAATGCTAACTAATTTCAATGGTCGCAGCTTTTCAAAATTTTGCAATTCAAAATTATTTGCACTGGCCTATTCTATATATTTTTTAAAACAAGTTGTTTACAAATGGTAACAAAGAGACCTTGGTCTAAGTGCAAATAGGTACCGACCGGGACAAGGTGGAGGCTGCTTTCGTACATTATTAGTTAATTATGTATTTAGTAAAGAATAGCTTTTTACAATTTTGTTAATTTTGAAATATTATTAAACCACCAATAAATATTTCTTGAAAATGTCACAAGGATTGTATTTTAGTTGAATTGATGCTAAATATCCATGTTATTTGTTAATAAGCTTAAAAATTAGTAATTTGTATTGGTGATTCCTTTTAAAAAATTGCTCGATTTTCAAAAAATTTTTGTACGTTACTGCGTTAGGATAATAAACTACTTTTTATTGATTCTGATAGAGTTCTTTATTCTCTTTAATTTTTATCTTTGGAGTTTTCGCTATAATGCACCGTTTTCGAGTTATTTACATGTTTTCTCCCAAAAGTACAAAAAATTCAAGATGGCGGCCGATTTTTTTTGATGACGCACACACCGGACAAATGGGGACTTTAGTATGTTAATAGGGGTTACTAATGCTAACTAATTTCAATGGTCGCAGCTTTCTAAAAATTTTTGCAAATTCAAAATTATTTGCACTGGCCTATTCTATATATTTTAAAAACAAGTTGTTTACAAATGGTAACAAAGAGACCTTGGTCTAAGTGCAATAGTACCGACCGGGACAAGGTGGAGGCTGCTTTCGTACATTATTAGTACACATGTATTTAGTAAAGAATAGCTTTTACAATTTTTGTTAATTTTGAAATATTATTAAACCACCAATAAATATTTCTTGAAAATGTCACAAGGATTGTATTTTAGTTGAATTGATGCTAAATATCCATGTTATTTGTTAATAAGCTTAAAAAATTAGTAATTTGCATTTCGGTGATTCCTTTTAAAAATTGCTCGATTTTCAAAAAAATTTTGTACGTTACTGCGTTAGGATAATAAACTACTTTTTATTGATTCTGATAGAGTTCTTTATTCTCTTTAATTTTTATCTCTTGGAGTTTTTCGCTATAATGCACCGTTTTCGAGTTATTTACATGTTTTCCCAAAAAGTACAAAAATTCAAGATGGCGGCCGGAATTTTTGATGACGCACACACCGGACAAATGGGGACTTTTAGTATGTTAATAAGGGTTACCTAATGCTAACTAATTTCAATGGTCGCAGCTTTTCTAAAAATTTTTGCAAATTCAAAATTATTTGCACTGGCCTATTCTTCTATATTTTTAAAAACAAGTTGTTTACAAATGGTAACAAAGAGACCTTGGTCTAAGTGCAAATAGTACCGACCGGGGACAAGGTGGAGGCTGCTTTCGTACATTATTAGTACACATGTATTTAGTAAAGAATAGCTTTTACAATTTTTGTTAATTTTGAAATATTATTAAACCACCAATAAATATTTCTTGAAAATGTCACAAGGATTGTATTTTAGTTGAATTGATGCTAAATATCCATGTTATTTGTTAATAAGCTTAAAAAATTAGTAATTTGCATTTCGGTGATTCCTTTTAAAAATTGCTCGATTTTCAAAAAAATTTTGTACATTACTGCGTTAGGATAATAAACTTTTTATTGATTCTGATAGAGTTCTTTATTCTCTTTAATTTTTATCTCTTGGAGTTTTTCGCTATAACGCACCGTTTTCGAGTTATTTACATGTTTTCCCAAAAAGTACAAAAATTCAAGATGGCGGCCGATTTTTTTTGATGACGCACACACCGGACAAATGGGGACTTTTAGTATGTTAATAAGGGTTACTAATGCTAACTAATTTCAATGGTCGCAGCTTTCTAAAAATTTTTGCAAATTCAAAATTATTTGCACTGGCCTATTTAGCCACTTTGTTATAGCAAAGTAATCTAGTTTGTATTAAAATAAAAAAAAACAGATGCGCATTAAACAAACAAAGAAAAAGGCTCACAGCGTGTTTTAAATTGCTAGAGCTATAAATAAGTAATTTTCTAAAAAAATAATTATGAAAATAAAAGACCTATATTATGTAAATTATGAGTATGGGTAGATATAGGATTAATAGAATATTTTATCACAAAATATCGAAGGCAATAGTGATATTAAGGCGATAGAGGCAGATAATTTCATTGATCTGTAGCAAAAATCAAACTAACCCAAATAAAGCAAATTTAATTTAAATAAAACAAACATTGAACAAGGAAAATAATTTATTTTATTTTGATGAAATATATAACAATAAGACCTTAAACTAACAAAGAATTACATATTTAAACAGATAGCGCCACGCATAGCTTTAATAAGTGGGTATTCCAAATAACGAACAGTATTCCACATTATCCTCTTTTCCTCTACGTATCTCTGTTATTGTGAAAGGTATCGAGAAGGTGAAAACTGTTTATTGTAGAACTTTTTACATAGAACACAGTGGCGTAGCATGTGAATCTACGAAAATAATAATTTTGAAGATATGAACTAAAGTTATGTTTTTTTTAAGTGGAACACCCTGTATATTTATAAATTATATAGTCTGGATTGCCATAAGCTTCTTAAAAAATATGTATCACTCCATAGTTATTTTCACTATTTACTGCAATATTTAAAAGTTTCCATTAAAAAAATCATTTTTGTTAGTAGACCATGATTGATAATAAAAGAAGCTAAAGAATTATTCAAAGTATACTGCTAGCTGTGTCTTGTTTTATTTTGGGAGCTACTAATAAATTCTTTATATATGGAAACTTAACTCTCTACTTCTACTACTAACCGCTATTTGTAAATCTTAGAAGCTATCATATACCGGAACTTCTAGATATTCCTTTAGTTTAGATAATATATTTATACGTGAAATATACTTTCAGCAAGATGGGGGGGAACTTTGAAAATATTAGGATTTTGTTAAATTTTCCAAATCAATGAATTGGGACCAATGGACAGCCTCCTTGATCCCCAGAGTTTGTCTGTTCTCGATTTTTGTATTTAGGGATTTTTGAAATATGAAATATATCGTGGCAACTACAACAATGTGGAAAACCTCGAAAATGCTATTACTAATAGCATTTTCTTTGCCTAATCGCCTATTAGGTAAGCTTTTAGATATATTTGCAAACCCATCCCGTTATAATAAATCCCGTTATAAAAAGAAGAAAAACATTCAGAGATTCACTGGTAACAATTTAAAAGTAAAATATTTCAGTCTCATATAAAATTTTAATATGGGTATGTGTGAGGTTCAAGTTAACGTCTCCTTTCTGCTGCAATGGCTAAACTGGACGGGACCTACTTTGTTTACGCGGAATCCGAACCGCGGTCCTCGGCCATATCATGGTCAATGGCCTACCGACTTAGGAAGTGTCTAAATTAACTCTTACTCACGAGATATCCGATCTCATCCGGCCTCGAACCGGCGTGAATGAGCAGTGTGTATCAATAGATTTTACACTTTTCCCTTGGACAACAGCACGATGCAAAGTTTCGAACCGGTCACCCGTCCATCAACTAGTATCGCCTTACGTCGCTTAACTTCGGTGTTCTAATGGGAACCGGTGTTTCGACGTAGCTGGGCCGTTGCCCGTATGGGTATGACTATTTTAGTAAAAATTATTTTGATTTTTTTCTTGTCTATCACGACCTACTAATAGGAAAACGATATCTTTTAAATATTGCAGTAAATATTGAAAATAATTATAGAGTGTTATAATATTTTTGAGAAGCTCATAGCAAGACGGATATTATAATTTATAAATATACAGGGTGCTCCATTTGAAAAAACATAACTTTAGTTCATATTTTTAAACCTTCGTAAGAAAAACAGACACACTACTATATTCAACGTAAAAAGTTCTACAAGAATCAGTTTTCATCTTCTCTATATCTTTCACAATAACGTAGATACTAGGACTGTCCCAAATTGTAAAATTTTCGCTCAGAAGCGAAGAGATCTACGAAAATTATGTTTACAGCATCTTCCGCCTGACAAAAAAGTGGGACAGGTTTGTGCAAACCGTATCCTCCAATCTTTACTAAAATGGGACACCTTGTACATTGTTTTAAATTCAGATTTATAATAATAACGAAAATTTTAGGAAATAAACTAGTTAACTGATTTCTTTTTGTTTTATTTGGTTTATAGTACTATTTTCCATTTTATTTTAATTGCAACACTTTTACTGTTGAGTCTTGAGAGTAGGTGGCGCTTATTTTTCTTTTAGTTATCATTACAACCCCGTATAACCGCCGCTGGGCATTGGCTCTGTTTGAGGAGTTATAAACATGAATAGAATATATTAGTGTTTGATGTCTCATTTTCTTATAAACATTTACTTTTTGAAATTCACAATTTCTTCAGTAAAAACGATTAAATTTAAATCAATTATTCATTTATATTTTAAATAATAAATCAATAATAAAATTTTTTTTATATACAGTCGTTATTTTTTATATTTTTTTACGTAACAAGCTTTCGGTGTTTTGCGAAATTATTGTATATATAGGTATACATTATTTGCCTTGTCAATTCGAACAGAAACATAACATTGTCGTAATAATGAAATTTACTGGAGTATTGTTCTACATTTTGCTAGTTATGGCAGTCATTTTTGACTCTACTGACGCTTTTTTTGGGAGTCGTCTAAACGTTAAAGTAAGTAATGTACATATTTATTTTATGCATTTTTAAATCAAATTTAATTTATTTCTCTACGGTTTATTTATTTTTAATATATCTGGTAAATCTGGTAATATGAAATCACTTTTTTTTTACAAATAGGCTCCAATAATTTGTTTCTTAGTCAGTGTTTTTTTAGCACGAGCGCGTTAACATCAATGTTAAGATGGAAAAGCCTGTGAGAAAGCGTCCTATAGGATATGTAAAAATGTACACTACTTAATACAACGCATAGATTATATGAAATAATATAGATAAAAAATTGGTATTTTATGGAATTAATTCGTATTTTTAAAATGGAATGAAATAAAAAAAAATTAAAAAAAATGTGTGTTTTTATTAGTAATTATATTTTGTACTAAGATTATAATAATTTCTTCCGAACAACATACGGAGTACTTTAAAAATAACATATTAACATATTTTATCCGAGTTTTATACTAACTTATAGGCTAGGTGCATTTCAGTTGATTTCAACAAATTCCGACCGCAGCGCTTCAACGGAAGAAATGAGAAATTATCAGTAGGTACTATGTATTTTACGCATAATCAAAAAATTAAATGAAACATATATAAATAAGACATATACTATGAGAGGATAGAATATAATTTGCAATATTAATGGTATACTTTTTTTAATCAACTAGTAATAAATGTTTTATGAACATCTTAAATTATAATTATGTACCTTTAAAAAATTTCGTTATAGTTGAAATAGCCCCAATTATGCCCTACTAGCAAAACCGGTCATTAAAACTATGCTCGCTACAGTAATTGAACTCAACTAATAAGTTATTTAAACTAAAATAATAAATTATAATACAAGTTAGACCTTCTGAAATATTTACTTTTTTTATTTTTATTTTTAGAATTTTCACAAATTAGTTTCTAATTCCTTAATACCTCCTAATACTTTCAGAATAATTAATAATACATTTTTCTTATATTCGCTATTTAAACCGGTGTTTTGGCATATACTTGTTGTTTACGATATTCTCCGATAGTGACAGCACCGGCGGAGAATGCACCAAGCTTATACTACTGAATCTATATACAATAATATAACAGGGGTAGCCAAAAGACATTCAAAAGATAGACGGAACTTGTCATTCATAAATGCTCCTATGTTGTGTATCAAACTTTCAAGTTAATTTCAATGTGTCAAAAAAAAGAGACAGAAAAATCTAAAATTTCCGATCAAGGCAACTACGCGGATCTCTGATTGACTTGTTTTTTAACCCTTCTGTTCCAACCCCAAGTGGCGTATCGTTTTTGAAGGAATTAATATGTATTAAAAATTTTTGTATCGGGTGGCCAACTAAGAATGGACGCCGGCTGTATCTCAGCAACTACTTATCGTATAACTTTGGGAAAGAAATTGTAATAATTAAATCGGGCAAGAGAAATGCTGGAAATTATTTTCAAGTTCGAAAAATGCCCGCTAGGGGGCGCATCTGTGATGGCCAATCAGAAATCAGGATTTTTCTCATAAATATGTAAATGAAGAGGTATTTTAAATATTGCTAATGTAATCGGTGGGAAATTTGTATTTTTTTATGCGGTGGTATGTATACCATCATAGTAAGACCCATGATTACCTATGAAGCAGTTGCTTGGTACACAAAACTAGAGCAAGGTACAGCGAGGCAAAACATGTGCAAATTACAGAAACTGGTATGCATCTGCATTACAGGTACTTGCCCACATGTTTCACAGGTCACATGTTGGGCACTGAAACATGCCCAACAGCAGTAATGGAGGTCATCCTAGACCTAAACTGCTGCACATTCGACAATGATTCGAATGATCATTGACGGAAACAGTACTGGGAGAATTTTCAGATCAGGCGCTTGGAACACCCTCAAAAAGAAAATTCCACTTCTCCAACTCCCAGTGGATGACATACCAAGAATCTACAACTTTAAGAAACACCTCACTGTAGTATTGAGTAATAAAAAAGATTGGAAGGGAGAAACGTAAAAGACCATACCATAACGTGGTATACTGATGCTTCGAAAACCAAAGCAGGGACAGGGATAGGAGTATTTACGCCGAAAACTAAATACTCCAAATCAATGGGCACCCTACACCAGCATTCTTCAGGCAGAAATCTACGCTATCGAAAGATGCGTACAATTTATCTTAGATAGGAACTATCGAAAACAGGAAATAGCGAGGGGTGTCTCACTTGGGTAAAAAATGTACATGTACTGCCAAAATATCATTCTATCTCCAAGCGACTGCCAATGACTACGAAAAAGACTGCCTATGACTGCCATGTAATTATTATAAGCGACTGCCATAAGACTGCCAATGACTGCCAGCGACTGCCAAGAAAATGTACATGTAATTCCAATAGTGAGACACCCCTCGGGAAATAGCCATCTTACCCGATAGTCAAGCAGCATTAAACGCGATCAACTCACTAAGTAACCATCAATTCGAAGTTGGTCATAGAATGTCTAGAAAAGCTGAACAAATTAGGTCATCCTACTCTGGGTGCCCGCTCACCAAGGGATAGAAGGCAATGAAAAAGCAAGTAATCTAGTTAGAAAAGGAGCGAACACTCCAGTAACTGGACCAGAACTAAAGGCGGAACGGGGGAACCTGGAAGAAATCCGTAACCTGGAATAGGAGCCATCCAACGGTCTAAGTTCAAAGTCACTCGAAAAAGTTCCTCAGAACTTACGACAGAGAAAAGTCAAAGATTTTCCTTGATTTAAGTAAAGACAGTCTTCGAATTGTCACGTGTTTCTAACAGGACACTGTCTCCTCAACGAATACCTCAGTAGGCTGAAACTGAGAAACAACAGCGAATGCAGATTCTGTGGGGAAAATGGGGGAACACCAGAACACCTTATCACTGAGTGCGCCGAGACGACGATCGTTCGTGTCATGAACTTTGGTACGACTGATGTCGAGGATGGAAAGCTGGCCTATGTGGAGCTGTCTCAGATACTGGCTTTTGTTAAAGCCCTGAGACTGTATGATGAGTTATAACTTGTTATAACACAAGAAAGGTGAACACACAATAGGTCTGTAACGTCAAAATATCAAAAGGCAATTAATTGGTTGCAACCATTTTCATTTAATAGCTATTTATGTAACTAGTACCTAAAATGATGTTTTTTAGGACGAATCATTACTGTTTGCGGACGAGGCGTTAGCCGAGTCCGAAATAGTAGATGAGTCCTAAAAAACATAATTTAGGTACGTGTTACATACACTATTTTTTGTCATACGCTTTTTACAGTTTTTTAGAACGCATATTTGCAAATTTTCCATATTTGAAATTATAATGTTTGAAAAAGTTGGCTTATAAATTCATATCTTAGTAACGAGTTTGTTTATTTCATCGCATTTTGACATGTCATTCGAAATTTGTCACAAAATCACACAAATTCATCAACAATTTTAAAATGTTCCAAAATCCCGAACATATTGCTAATAAGGCCAAAGAAATCGTGTTGGATTTACTTCCTGTGAAGTCTCGTGCCATTTACCAGAAAGAATATGATGTTTTTAATGAATGGAAAGACAAAAATGGCGTATTCGTTGTAAATGAAGATGTATTGCTAAATTATTTCCACGAAAAAGTAAGTACCTAGGTACCTATTTAAAAGGCTTTTAAATTAAAATATTCTTAAATTACAGTCACAAACATTCAAACCATCGTCAATTTGGTCGAAATATTCCATGCTGAGAGCAGTGTTAAGTGTTAAAGAAGATATTTATATTGACAAATTTCCAAAACTTATTGCTTTTTGAAGAGGAATTCGGTTGGTTACGAGCCTAAAAAGTCTAAGGTTTTGTCCATAAAAGAGATCGGTGATTTTTGGCCACGGCTAGTGATGAAACTTATTTACTTACTAAGGTAAGTTTGCGATAATGATTTTTAAAATATATAGATGGTTTCTTATTCCATTGTATTTGATTTTTAGGTAGCTCTTGTCATTGGCCTTTGTGGAGCATGTAGAAGAGAAGAATTGTACTCTCTACGAGTGCAAGACATCATAGAAAAAGACAACAGCTGCCTTTTAGTTACCCTTGCGGATACAAAACTAATATCAAAAGAGTGTTTCCGGTGGTGAACGAAGGGAACGTTGTCAATCCAGTTGAGTTGTATAGAAAAAATATGCTTGTCTTAGGCCAAAAATGTACCACATGATTATGTCTTGTTTGTGACTGTAATTTAAGAATATTTTAATTTAAAAGCCTCTTTTAAATAGGTACCTAGGTACTTACTTTTAAACAAATAACTTAGCTTTTGATATTGTTAGTATTTAATAATTTAATTATAAATATATGTATAATTTTATGTGATTTTGTGACAAATTTCGAATGACAAAATAAAACAACCAAATAACGAATTTAGACATTTTAGTCCATAAAGGTTGCCATGACGACCTTTACGGCCTAGGCCGAAAAAGAAACATTTTACGGACTGAAATGAGTCCGTAAAATAGCTGTTTTTGGGAGCGTATGACAAAAAAGTAGTTTATTGCCTGTAATTTTTTAAATGTTGAAATCAATCGAGTCAATTCTCTCGATGGATAGGTTCTATATGTTTCTCTGCCATTGATACAAAATTTGGCATATAAAACTACATACAATTTTAAGTTTAAATGTTTGTACCAGGACAGTTTGAATATAATAAAGAAACAACTTTAGAAGGAATAGCATTATTCTAACCTTTAGCTTAGTCAATGCTTTGTGTATTTAAATATTATGCGCCTTTCAGAAAAGGTGCCCTAAAGTAAGCGTACAACTTTTGCATAAAACATTTATTCCCTAACACCTATTATAAAGAGATAATAAATCATGTGGTAAACACCACACTTTCGATATATCGAATAAAATAGAATGAAAAGATAATTCAAAAGGCCTTTACAAGTCGCTGTGTTATGTTGTTTATTTTTGTAGGTTCCTCGATACTAACAAGTTACTAAAAAGTGGATAAAACTAAAATTATTATTGTTAAATCTAGTAATTGTATAGTACTCTAAGGCTGTATGTAAAAACATATACAGGGTGTTTAAAAAAAAACATGTGCCGTCTCTCGTGGGGAAATTCCTCACGTAAAAATAAGATTTATTTCTAGTATCAGCATAGGTCCGATTCAGCTTTGTTCCGTAGCTACGGGGGTTAAAGTTTTCATTTTTTCGATTTATTCTAGTTTTCTTCCAAGTGCTTTTAGCGCTGGTAAATATTACTATTAGGGTAAAAGTTACTATAAGTGTTACATATTGTAGTACTAAAAAGTGTCGACAGATTCACAAGGGACGTCACGGATATTATTGGAATATTTTTCTAAAATAAACATGAGTTTTGGTTTTTTTAAAACTAAAATTACTTTTTAGAAAAATTTATTTTTACTGAACTACAAGTTTACAGTGTGAAGGCTCGAATCTGACTGCCTGAGAATAACGGTTGAGTTCCCAAGGAAGGAACTGCTGACTTTGACGCTTGGGATGACGGGGTCCGCTAGGTGGGCTGCTCCCATAAGGATCTGCACTGGACCATCACATAATTCATGTGCATTACTGACTTTTTTCTCGTGCTAGCAAAATTAATATAAAAATTATATTAGTGAAATTATATTGCCGATTAAAAGCTGTATCTAGATATTTTGTCGAGTGTTTTGTAGCACATGTTTTTTCAAACCCAATTTTATTAATTACAATTAATGGAATTAAAATAAAAATAAGATTAATAAATTATTAATTTAATGTATGTTATTAAATTTTATTAAAATTTATATCACTGATGTTCAGTGCTACCTAACCCTTGTATAATTTAAGAAAAAAATAATGGTATAAAGATAATTACAAAACACCTATTTTTTTTAAAGTTTAAACATCCTGTCACTTTAGAACTATGCATTTCCGCATCTATGTTTATAGGCATTTGTTATATTTTTAAAGAGGAATAAATGCGCATTGATTTAACACTTTGGTCAATTTGACATAAAATTTTTTAAAGGCTGCAACTAATAGCAGCATTTATTAATTTGTATTATTTATATGTATTGTATAATAATACAAATAAATTTGTATTATTTTTGTTTATCTCATCAAAAAGAACCGAACTCGAGAAAATATGAAGAGACAAGTTTTAATCGCCAATAAATGGCCTATACAACTGTATTAACTAGAGAAAAAAGTCAGTGGCGAACATTTTTTTGAAAAATATTACAGTGATAACCCATATGCACGTCCCTGATGAATTTATCGACACTTTTTAAGCATTAAAATGTGTAGCACTTATAGTATCTTTTACCCTCAATTTCATAAGAATCATTAAATGTACTTGGAAGAAAATTATAATAAATCGAAAGATTATTAAGATTTTAACACCCTGTAGCTACCAAACAAAGCAGACTCGGACCTATAGGTATATACCGGGTGCTACAAATTCGAGGTACGAGCATTGGTATCTCGCTAACCGTAATAGATACGAACATGGTTAAATTGGGGCAAAGTTGCGCTTTAGGATGCTCACCAAGGTGCCATCATAAAAGTTTTCAAAATTTCAAGGATTGCTGAGATTGACGGATTTTTTTGAAAATCAATTTTATTTTTTCCTGTCGTTATTTTTTAGAAAATCAAAAAAACTAATTGCACATTCTCATAGCCACTTTAATAGGGCTATCTAATTCTATTTTTAGATTTTCAACTTAGCTGGAAATTTGTGAGATACAGAGACAAACTTAATTTTTTTAAATACGGACCTGCATTTTTTATTTTAGGTTTTGAAAGAACTCGGTCTCCTGAGTACAATGATATGCCACATTTGATACTTTTTTGTTTTGGGTACCTTAACAAGAACAAAACTCTTTAATTATTATTTAAAATAATTTCAAGTCCGTCTCTGGTTTTTTAAATTATTTAATCTGATTATATTTATCGCTACAATATTAATTAGCGCTAACTAACATTAAATATAAGGAAAATCGAGCCAATTGAAATATTCAAATAAATAATATCCTGGTCAGCAATTTAAAGATACTATTTTTATTTTTTTTATTGCGAATTTAAAATGTCAGTGTACGATCTAATAATATGCAGAATATAGTAGTTATTATAAATAAATCAACTTCTACAAACCAGTTTCTAATGCACACATTTATTTTTTGTTCGCTCTTATTTATAGCTCTTTGAACATATCTTCTTCTTATACTTCTTACTTTTTGTTGAAATGTATTGATTTCACTTTTACAAATGATGTCAAGTAATGCTCCCCATCCCCCAACCCCTTGGCCGACAGGAATCTCGCTGGCCATACTGTAGATTTAACCATGTTCGTATCTATTACGGTTACTGAGATATCAACGCTCGTACCTCGAATTTGTAGCACGCTGTATATAAGTAGTTCTTATTTTTACGTGAGGAATCTTCCCACGAGAGATGGCACATGTTTTTTGAAACATCCTGTATAGTAGATTAAATTTAGAAGAACAAAATCCCCGAAAAATAATTGGTACTCAAAATTAAAAAAGCAAAATATAATTTTTTTTTTAATTTTTAAAGTAAAATAACTCGGTTATTTTCGACTGGAAATGTTATGTTTCTTTTACCGAGATCTACCCGCCCGGCCCTGTGGAAATATTAACATTTATTATTTAAAATGTTCTAGTCTTATTTGTACATGAGGAATCTCCCCACGAGAGATGGTACATGTTTTTTGAAATACCTTGTATACTAAGAAAAATAAAAGTATCCAGAATACAAGCCAACAATATTTTTTACAGTTGTCTTTGCCGACTTATAGCTAATTTATACCCCAAAACCATAAGCAGCAAATTCCGTCTTGGACTAGATTTTGGATTTGGATAAAGATGTATACTTGTAATCATTTAAAACTTCCCAATATGGCGGACTTCAGTATGGAAGTCTTAAAAAACGAAAATATCTAGATTGGAATCGACTGTAGTTCAAATCGTTCAAATTGATAATCTGTGGTAAATCTAATTGAACTCTGACACTTGGCTGACATTGACTTTTACGGCCCCTTTTTTTTTAAATATTTTAATTATTTTTTGAGATTCTATTCACAAATTCTACTTGATTTTGTTCTTTTATTTAACCTTGAAGTTATCAATAATCTTTTCACCGATCAAGAACTGAGGAATAGCCTGGAAGATATTCAAAATATGTAAAACGCTTAAAAATGTATTAGAAAATATTGACTCGTTCACAAATTGGTGAACATAAATTAGTCCAGATGTTTGTAAAAAGGTCTAATATATATATATATATATATATATATATATATATATATATATATATATATATATATATATATATATATATATATATATATATATATATATATATATATATATATATATATATATATATATATATATATATATATATATATATATATATATATATATATATATATATATATATATATATATATATATATATATATATATATATATATATATATATATATATATATATATATATATATGTATATATATATATATATATATATATATATATATATATATATATATATATATATATATATATATGTATATCTGTAAATAACTAATAATGTAATGTAATCTGTTATGCCCGAGCTATTTCCTGAAATATAAATATAAGTTACATATATATATATATATATATATATATATATATATATATATATATATATATATATATATATATATATATATTATTATATTATTACTAGAAGTCTTTCAGTCAGTCGAAGAAGAGGAATGGAATACTGAAATATTCCAGAAACCACTAGTCTCTCAAGAATGTATCTGGAATGCACCCATGGAGCATGATATCGTGTTGCCCTGCACTGTAAATATTGAATCGACCAACAGGTTTGTGAGCAGAGCAATAGAAAATTTTGGAGCTAAAACACAACTCAAGAGCCAGAATAAACAACCAGAAGTTGCACTGATGACGCACTCTTTGGGATTTCCTGATGCAAATGGACAGATCTGCAACAAAAACAGATGGATATACTACCCAGTTTGAGATAGCGATGAAGACGATGATCTGCTCTTTAAATCTCTTAAAATGATAAAGGATCTTATGCTAACACAAAATAGGACAAGTATTGCAATACCAGAAATGGAAGAAACGACAGGCAAAACAACAATTAAAATGTTAAAATTCCTCTTAATAGACACGTCCATCCAAATAGTGATATATAAGCCTGATAGAAGTACTCAGAGGTCTCGGGGGCGTATTCAAAGTACTCTAGAAAGGAACGCAACCAACAAGCCCAAACATGATGCTCTCCTAATAAAGATGGAAGGAAAAAGCTATGCCGATCTGCTGAAAACGATTAAGTCGACAGTGAACCCTAGCGAATTGGGAGTAGACATAAGAGATTTGAAGAAATCAAGGAACGATGATCTTATCCTTACCATCCAGAATGGAACAGACAAGGCGGAGACCCTGAAACAAGAATTAAAAAAAGACTTCCAACAGTTAGAGCTAGAGTATTAGCTAGCAAAAAAGTGCTACATATAAAAAATATGGATGAGTTAACAACGGAAGATGAGGTCAAGGAAGCTATTGTAAAAGCCATTGGCGCCCGTCTTGAAGATATAGTGGTTAAAGCCCTACGGCCATCATACGGTGGGAAACAGAATCTGAAGCTAACGACCTTCTCAAAAACCATACGCTTAAAATTGGCTGGTCAACCTGCAGAATACAGGAAAGGCAAAAAGAACCTCGATGCTTGAGATGCTGGAGGCTTGGGCATACAAAAATGGATTGCAAAGGTACTAATAGAGAACACCTCTGTCTAAAATGTGGAAAAGAGGGACACAAAGCAAATACTTGCAGAAACCAGCCTTTCTGTGTATTTTGTGATAGTGAGGGTCACCAGTCCGGAAACTTAAGATGTCCAAAAAGATCAGAAATAAAAGTGTCGGAGGGTAGAACCGAGCCACAATAACACAAAATGAAAATAATTCAAATCAACACCAACAGAAGTCGCGCTGCTATGGACTTGGCACTAGCTACGGCAAAGGAAGTTGGAGCCGGGATTTTGGTCATAAGTGAACCCAACCGCAAGGTTGTATCAGGTAGAAAAGACTGGATACATAGTGAAGACTTAAAAACTGCCATTAAAATCATAGACACTAACATAGCCATAAATAACTGGGGACAGGGTCTGGGATTCACCTACATAAATACTTGTACTTACACCATATATAGCTGTTACTGTTCGGGTAACGATGAAATACGAAACCTAGAAGAAACTTTAGACGAAATAGCTTACCTCATCAGAACAAGAAAAGAAGAAGCTATCATAGCAGGGGATTTTAACGCAAAATCTCCGCACTGGGGAATGAGTACCACAGACCAAAGGGGTGAGGTAATGGAAGAATGGATAGCTGCCAATGATTTGTCAGTCGCTAATCAAGGAGATCAGCCAACTTTTCAGGTACAAAACTATGGATCCATACTAGACTTAACAATAACAACTGAAAAGCTATTGTCAAGGATAATCGACTGGGAGGTCCTAGAAAGAGAGTCCTTGAGTGATCACAAATATATTTACTTTAGTATAAAGGAAGATTTTCCTCTCCCGTGTCCTAAACCAGATGATACCGGATGGCAAGTCAGAAAGTTGGATCAAGCAAAGCTTCATTGCATACTAGATAAACCACAGCCCAGCTTGAATACCGAACAACTAGCAGCAAAATTCTCCGAAAAGCTTACAGAAATATGTAACGAGGTCATGCCAAAAAGGTGCCGTTCCTCTAAAAGGCAACCAATGTACTGGTGGAATGAACGAATTGCTGAATACGCCGTGACTGTTTAAAATGGCGTCGACAATATACTAGGACCAGACGAAATCAAGTCTCTAATAACCTCACTGTCTGGGAAAACTACAAAAAAAGCAAAAATGCACTTAGGGGTGAAATTAAAAAATCAAAAAGGAAGTGCTGGAGAAGATTATGTGACGAAGTAGACTGCGACATATGGGGTAATGGGTACAAAATAGTAATGAAAAACCTCATTGGTTTTCCACCAAAACTTTCTATCCCATTAGAAAAGATGGAAGAAGTGGCTAGACATCTCTTTCCTGTCCACCCACCAGTAAGTTTTGACTGTGGCAATAAATATAACTTTCCTGTCTTTACTCTAGGTGAACTAGAAGCAGCAAGCAATAAGCTTAAAAACAACAAAGCGCCGGGACCAGGAAACATACCTAGTGAAATTATTAAAACAGTTGCAAACAAAATACCACAATACACTCTAGCTGTATATAATAGTCTGGTTAACAATGGAGAGTTTCCGTCGTGATGGAAAAAGGCAAAGCTTCTGCTATTGCAAAAAGGGAATAAACCGATGGAAAATCCGTCATCGTACAGACCCATATGTCTCCTGGACGTGGAAGGAAAGTTATATGAGCAAATGCTACTAGGTAGACTCAACACTGAGATAGACCGTACGGGAGGTTTGTCACCTAAACAGTATGGCTTTCAAAAAGGCAAGCAGGCAGTTGATGCAATTAATGAGGTCCTTAGGATAGCAAAAGATGCCGAAAACTTATGCTTACGCGAATAGAAGATTGTGCGCAGCCATTGCACTTGACGTAAGAAACGCATTTAACAGCGCATCGTGGCAGATAATTCTGGATGAGTTTAAAAAAAGAGGTATTAACGAAGGCTTGACAAGGATAATATCATCATATTATACAAATCGATATGTGTTGTTAAGTGACCAAAATAACTCCAAAGCTTTGAGGGTTAATAGTGGAGTCCCACAAGGTTCAGTGTTGGGACCAACTCTATGGAATATTTTGTACGATGAACTGCTGAGAACAGAGATGCCAGAGGGAGTTACGCTAATAGGATTCGCGGATGATATAATTTCAGTAGTTACTACAAAAACGGAAGCTTTACTAATGACACTAACTAATACGGCCCTGTTAAGAATATCACATTGGATGAATGGGAAAAATTATCCTTAGCCCCAGAGAAAACAGAAGCAGTACTTTTAACTAAGAAGAGAAAAATAAACACAGTCGTCTTCAATGTCCAAGATGCTATGGTTAGACCAAAGAACTCTATAAAGTACCTTGGTGTATACTTGGACCAAAAACTGTCGTTTGCTGTGCATATCTCAAAAACCATTGAAAAGGCAGGGAGAACAGTCACAGCCCTTTTAAGACTAATGCCTAACGTAGGAGGTCCTCGGACATCAAAAAGAAGAATTCTATCTAGCGTAGTACACTCACAAATATTGTATGGGGCACCAGCCTGGCATGAAGCGACCAAAAATAAAATTCTCATGACCAAACTAAGTAGTCTTCAAAGAGTCCTGTCGATAAGAATATGTAGCGGGTATAGAACAATCTCGACCCAAGGAGTTGGTGTTATTGCGGGAATACCTCCAATCAAGCTGTTAATAGAAGAGCGGCGCGAACGGTATTTGAGCACCCCAAAAACTATTGCTAATACAAAACTAATGAGGAAATGGCAAGAAGAATGGGAAAACGGTAAATATGGACGCTGGACATATCATCTCATCCCAAACATAGCAGCATGGATAGAAAGACCCTACGGCGACGCGGACTACTTGCTGACTCAAGCGCTGTCTGGGCATGGTTGTTTTAACAAATATCTTTATGAACGAAAAAAATCCACTACTAGCAACTGCCACTATTGCCAGAAAGAAGATGATGTAAAGCATACAATGTTCGAATACCCAAACTGGTCCATAGCAAGAGAAACCTATCTTCAAAAAACAGGCATGTAATTTACAGCAGAAAACATGATGAGGAGCCTAATAGAGTCCAAAGAAGGATGGAACCACGCATATATAGCAATTAGAACAATTATGGCGACAAAAGAAAGGGATCATAGATCACATGTATGAGAGAGGAAAAAGGAACAGACATAGAAACTACAAGTAGAATGAGAACCTAGAACGCTCTGCCAAGAGCTGAGAGAAACATCCAGCACATCATTTTCGAAGTAATGCGAAAGCGGTATCCGAATCGATTTGCTGTGGAACAAAGGGGGAAGGGTTTAGTCGGTCGGTAGTACCAATCAGACACTGTCTGGGCACACAAGAGCGCGCAAGCAGCACATTCGTCTGATAAGCAGATTCCTAATCCCCGCTTTAAAAAAAAAATATATATATATATATAGCTTATAATATATATATATATATATATATATATATATATATATATATATATATATATATATATATATATATATATATATATATATATATATATATATATATATATATATATATATATATATATATATATATATATATATATATATATATATATATATATATATATATATATATATATATATATATATATATATACATATATATTGTATATATATATAAAATAAAACATAATTTTGGTTTGGTTTGGTGCTTCATATTCTAACTACATCTATTCCAAACCTTATATAGTATTTCTTATACGTATATTTTATTCTTTCTGTATCATGTAAAGTAAAAAAAAATAAATATATATATATATATATATATATATATATATATATATATATATATATATATATATATATATATATATATATATATATATATATATATATATATATATATATATACAGTGTGACCCACTCAAGACCGGGGCACCCTCCATAAAATCTGTGTTTATAGTCCGATTTTGATGATTTTTTTTTCAAATATGAAGTTTCAAAAAATGTACTTTAGGGCTGAATGTCATGTTATTTCACAAAAAACAAGGCCTACTTAATAAAGTTTTTGTGGTGAAAAATTTGCAAAATCATATTAGCGATTTTTTTTCAAAAAATTTTAGTACACCCCTACATTCGGCATCCCCCAAAACAGTTCTGTACCAAATTTCGTTTAAAATTATTAATTATTAATAATTTTGCAGTTAAATTAAATAATTCCCTATTTTTGCCAATTTAACCATGAGTTATCAAGTAACCCTTGAAAAAACAATCCACGACAACGAGTTTTATTACAAACAATGATAAAAATACTACAAGCAACACAATAACCGAATAATAAGTTAAACATATTCAAATAATTCTAGTTGCTTCTACCAGCCCTCCATTCAGTTCAATACATTTGTCGCATCTTTTTCTTAGATTAACAGTTACATTCCTAAGCTGCTGTGGTGTAATATTTGCAGAAGCCTCTGTAATTCTAATACGTAATTCATCTACAGATTGAGGTCTAGACTTGTAAACTTGTTGCTTTAAGAAACCCCAAAGAAGAATAAGAAGATAGTTATGCTTGAAGATAGTTATCACCCACTAAACGAATAATTTCAATTTTATCCCTAATATTTAATTGTTCCATAATGCAAATAATATTTCTTGATACAACACTTTTCTGCGTGCTATTAAATTAATATTCAATTCTACGCTGCAAGAATTGACAGCTAATAAAACCCATTGTTGTGGATTGTTTTTTTTCAAGGGTTACGTGATAACTCATCGTTAAATTGGCAAAAATAGGGAATTATTTAATTTAACTGCAGAATTATTAATAATTAATATTTTTAAACGAAATTTGGTACAGAACTGTTTTGGGGGATGCCGAATGTGGGGTGTACTCAAATTTTTGAAAAAAAATCGCTAATATGATTTTGCAAATTTTTCACCACAAAAACTTTATTAAGTAGGCCTTGTTTTTTGTGAAATAACATGACATTGAGCCCTAAAGTACATTTTTTGAAACTTTATATTTGAAAAAAAAATCATCAAAATCGGACTATAAACACAGATTTTATGGAGGGTGCATTTACATGATACACAAAGAATAATAGGAAATACAGTTACACTCACTAAAAGCACTTAAGGTTTGGAATAGATGTAGTTAGAATATGAAGCACCAAACCAAACCAAAAATTAGGTTTTATTTTATATTATATATAAAATGCATTCCTCACATTTGAAAGAAAAGTCACTTCAATAAGTCACTTCACTATTCTGATTATTACAGTTTGCGTGGATGACTATTTTTGTATGTTGATATTTTTAAAAGTGTATTTAATGAGTTTTTGGATATTTCTTATTTTCCTCAGAGGATTGTGTTCTAATCTTTATATATAAATTTCCTTAAATTATATCTACAAAATTTATTACCTTATAACTTTTTGCTAAAGACTTTGTAGTTGATACAGTTTAACAGTATATAAAAGAACTATTTAAATAAGATTTTTAAAAATATATAGCTGTTTTTGCACACATATCAATTCAATTTGTGATTAACTGTACTGAAGTAAAAATATAAATTAAGAGAAATGGGGTGATTTATCAATTATAACATGAAACCCATCATCCTATCTCCAGGTCTTCTATTAATTTCACTTATTAAACAAGTATAATTATTCAATAATCTTGATAATTTTAGGAACTCTCGCATAATCGTCAAAACATGAAAATAAAAATTCACTTCCTATAGTTCTTACGTTCATTTAATTGAGATATAAGAAACAGGGGAGTTAATATTCTCACTGAGAAAGTTTATAAAATACTTTAAGTAAAATCTCTTCCGATCTGCGGTAAAATACCTTTATTCTTATTAAAATAATTTCAATAATCTGTTTTTATTTATGACAACCACCTACTATATAGGCGCCGGACGCGGGGGCAAGAGGGGGCCCTTAGATCCCCCCCCCCCTGGATCACTGAAACAGTAAAAATAAAAACTATCTTCTTACATCCATCTGTAAAAAAATAATCATTATTATGAAATTTTTAGGTGTTACATTTAAAATAATAAAAAAATATGTTTCAATTTGTTATTCATTTTTACCTTGCCCCCCCCCCTAAATTTCATTCTTCC